AACCACCTCTCTCTCTCTCTCTCTCTCTCTCTTCCACCCGCAAATTATCACAGTCCTGGATCTACATCGGGGCACCGACACCAGCCAAGCCCTTTTGCGTGTACGTGCGTGTGCATTGTTGTTTTTATTGGTGCTTTCTTCCTTCTTGTTTTTTAATACTTTCTCTCTTCCGTTTCCCTTCACGTTTGCCCCCGCCTCCGTCGCCGTTGTTTTCCTCCCCAGTCCATGCGAAGGTACGCGGCTAGGTGGGGAAGTACAAGGTATAAAACAAAGTGGGCGGCAACAACAACAACAAAAAACAAAACAAAACACGTAACGAGTGAGTAGGAGAGAAGAAGGGAGGAGGAATACGAGAAACAAAAAAAAAATAGCGAGAACAAAAACAAAACCTTAAAAAAAAAATACCCCTAATTCTCACTGCCTCTGCGCTAGTTTGCTTTGCAGCATGGCGTTCTCCTGGGACAGTTTCTTGTACTCCTCGTCAAACTCCGCCTTCATGTAGTCGACGTGGGAAATGAGCGTTTCAAACTCCCTCTCGTTCCCCTTCACCTGAAGCTGAGCGGAGGTGGCACGAGACGCAATCGCATTTTGGAGAACAAATGTTTTACGCCCCAGCTGTTCGACCTTCGCGTCGTGGGCGTTGAGTTGATCATCACGTTGAATCAGCGTTTCCCGCGCGAGCTCAACGTCACGGCATATTTCCTCGAACTGCTGCAACGGGACCTCCGTGGCGTCCTCAGGAAAGTCTTCCATTGGCTCGTCATCCTCCTCCACTTGGGCAAACACCTGCTGCACAAAGAGGTTTACCGCCTCCAGTTTGGTCTCCAGCTGCCGGAGGCACACCTCAAGAGAGAGAATGGATTTGGTGTTGCTCACATTCGTTTCACGAAATTTGGATAGGGTGGCATACAGCACCTTCTTGTCCCCATCCAACTGCTTAATCTTCTTATACTCATCAGATTCCTTGCTGGCGTTGGCGTCCAACATGCGTTCCTTCTTCTTGATGAGTCGCTCCATGGACTTGAGGTCTTCAAGAAGCTTATCATATTCATTGTTGGCCTCAACCAAACTCTGCTGTGCCGCTGCCAGTTGTTCTTGCTTTTGTCCCTGTTCCTCCATTTCCTTATTAATGGCTTCAATGCGCTCCGATAACAGTGCAGAAAGCGCCTTCACTGTTTCTTGTTCTTCATGAAGTGCAGTCAAGTTCCTCTTCCGCATAATCCATTCATTTTTGGCATCTGCGCGGCCGAGGGCACTGGCCTCCCCCCTATCCCAGCCTGTAACTTCCTTTACCAGCGCCAGGCGGCTGGCCACGTTTTCAATGCCGCGTTCGACGTCCTCCATCTGACGGGTTATGGTGCTGGCGGCTTCTTTTAATTCCACCGTCCGCTTGTTCTCGTGTTTGATTTCATTCTCCAGGGCAATGACTTCCGCCAATGACTCCGGCGAGATTTTAAGCCGTTTCTGGCCTTGGGCGTCATCCTTCTGCTGCTTCTTGCGTAATGTTACCTCATTCACCGTCCGCAGTTCCTTGAGAAGCGTCTGCTCCTCCCTTGCACGACGAAGCTCAGCCCCCTTCCTGGCAACTTGCAGCTCTAGGTTTCGTGCCTGGCTACGCCGCTGCTCCAGTTGCGTTTGAATGTCAGAGGAACCCTCTCGTAGCGCAACGGCAGTTGCATCGTTCATTGTTCCCTTCCTCACTTCCTTTTGTTTGAAGTTGTTTTTAACCCCGCCTCTAATGAAAGATACGTGCTGGCAGACACGTACGTGTTTACATATAAGGGAAGAAGAGAAACAGAGAAACAGAAAGAAAAAGAGAGGAAACAGAGTAAGACAAGCAATAAAGCCAGACACTTGTGGCGCAGGCGGGACAAGAAACATTTTACTTTTTTGTTTTGTTTTTGTTGTTGTTGCTGTTGGGTGCGGCAAAAGCAAAGAAGCCCGTGGCAGCTGTCGTGTGATGAGGTTAGTGATCAGGGTACGGGTTTTCCGATATGGTGCCCTGCCGCTGCAGCATTTGAACTCTTGCCATTCCCTCTTCCTCTGTTTGTGTAGAGATACTGTAGGCCTTAAGGATCGCCTCTTTAATCACCTTCGCCAATGCCACTTGTGTGAGACCAACTCCATCCTTTCGGCACACATCGAGGTTGGGAGAGTATCCATGCACGTCCAAGCCCGCCACCTTCGGCCCCCTAATGCCGTTCATTATATGCAGTAATTCTCGTGTTGACAGCCCCCCTGCAACTGGGCATGACACAGCTGGCGCAAAGGCGGGATCCAGCACGTTGGCATCAATGCTTATAAAGACAGGGTAGTCATTTCGAATGTCTCGAATACAAAACAACCCCTTGGAATAAATGGCGTGCATGTCCATGTAAAACATTTTGTGATGTTTGCGTATCTTTCGATCCTCCGAGGTCACCAGACGATTGCCTACACTCACGATGCCCTTTAACAGTCCCTTATCTAGCAGAACTCGGAGAGGAGCCCGGGCGTTTCCAACAAGTGGCTGGGCAGAAAAATGAATGACGACAACGTCGTCAGTGGGAAACAGTCTTTTGTAGGCCTCCACCATGGGCAAGGTGGCAGATCCATCCCCTCCCACGCTGGCCGGAATATACCCCTTTTCCAATAATTCCGTGGTCGCCTCGAGAGCGCCCATGTACCACTCATCGCTGGTTGGGGTGGGAGTCGCAGCTGGGCTCTCCAGCATTTGTCCGCACTTCAGCACCGGCATAAACATCACGGTTTCAGGGGGGCACTCAATGGGCCCGCTGTCATGAAAGGAAAGCTCAGCGTAGTGATCACAGTCTACGGGGGATTGACAGAAGTAGTCAAAGAGAATCGAGCTGTTTGACGCCCCCGCCTCGTAGCCAAACACGGCGACAGGCCCAAGTCGATTAGCCCAATCGCTTCCACGGGGGGCAACAGCTTTGATGCGCGTTAAGAACCGGGCGAACATCGTAATAAATTTGTATAGATCTACTAGGCCTGTAGGTGCGTACTTGCGTGGCACGCCGCGTCCTCCAGACCACTACAAAAAAAAAAAAAAACAATAAAGCGAGACGCGACGAGGGCATAAACAATAGA